TATCTCTTTAATTACATAACTGAAAGCATTAAATTTATTTAGCAGTTATTATTTGGCAACAAAGCCACCGCTGGAACTGCCGCCTATTACCAAGTAGAAGACTTACCAAGCTAAATTTCATTGATGGATGCCGGCTTGCAAAAGCCTGCATTCTTTTCGGGTTGCCAATTTCCAGCATTTAACATGCAGTCTGTGGCGATAAGATATATTGTCTGTAATGCAAGGCTGAGGTTTTGAGGTCAAACCGTAACTTTTTTTTACTCTTTTTTAAGGTATTAAGCTGATTCAAACAAATCCTATCACATGAAGTCAAACAACATTCTTTCGATATCAGAAATCTAGGTATGCAAAAGACATCTAACCTCACAAACAAGATTGCTAACTGCTGTACTGCGGGAAACAACTACTTTGAATTAGCTTAATACGTAATCCCGTAACTTCAGAAGTGTTAGTAGCTTTTTGGTCCTCCAGGTATTTCGGTTAACTTTAGACTATTGAATGTAATGTGTAAGAATTGTTAGTTAACTGGTAGCCTTTTATTAAAAATTTCACTCACCTGTATCTTGGAAATAACATTGCCGCGTGTAAATTAAAAATTGGTATTGATTATTTTAAACTCTTGTCTTACTTTTAAATTTCAGAAATTCTTCAGTTTTTCTTTGTTTTAATTATTGTTATTAAAAACTATTCATTAGGTGACTTGATGAATGAAATTAAAACAACTTGTGGATTACAGGCTGCTTTAGATAAGGAATCGTAATTGATCAGATTCATTCTTTCTCTTTGTTTTTAGCATCCACGTGTGCGAACTAATGTTTAGATTTGAATTGGCACGCTCAATTATAAAAGTTAAGGTCGTTATGGTAGGTAGGTAGTATTTAACTAAGAACTCCCAGATTACAGAAGATAAAACGTGGTTATTCATTTCTCAATTAATAAAAACAATATTGTGTCATACTTATTCGCCATTCAAACGAACAAATTCAAGTAAACATCTATCTACCTAGTCGAAAACTTATGACTATCGTTTTTGGAGAAATATGATGTTATTCTTTTGGTTCGTTTCTCAGATAGAGATTATGTTTCAATTGGAACCACAGACCACCTAGACTGGCTTATAGAGCGACTTTGGTGAAAGCACTTTGGAGCCTGATTTGGAGCCCAGCGCTCAGTCGTGTCCTAGCATTTGACGTGTACGCATCGCTGTGATTTCGATAATTAGACGTTTTATCATGGGCAAATATACTGTAAAATATTGTATATATAGAAGTGATCGAGTTGGTGAAGAGAGGCGAAGTTTCCTTCTTTAGGTAAGTAAAAAAAAGGAATATATAAAAGGTAAATATGTACGCCATTTTTCGGTTGACGTCACAAGTTTCCAGGGTTAGCTTTATAATTTTGTTCGCCCACATAGTGTAGTGATTAACGTGATATTGTAATCATAAAATAATGAATAAATTACTGTAAAATATTTTTAGTAATTATTTACTTTGTGAGTCTCAAATTTTTATGAAAATTTACCAATTCCCGTCATTTCGAGATAGCTGAAAATTAATTAAATATTTTTTTTCAATTGAAAAAATCGCAAACAAAACTAATTTCAGATTCATGTTCAGCACCCTGGAAAAGGAGAGTTGGCAAAATGTGATTAGAAAAATTAGAGAATTTTGTGACAAAAAGAAATAATTAAGTACGCTTCGATTTGTCAAACCTAATATTTAAATTTGTACAGATTTCCAACGAATGCTGACATAAAACGAAGATGGGTGAAGGCTATTAAAAACAGGACTGGACACTAGTAAGTACATTATAGTATATATTGGCGGTTTCGTAATAACAAGTTCTCTAATAAAGCCAATAAAATGAGAAGACTGTAAATAGTTTAATGTCAAATAGGCTATTAAAAACAGGACTGGACACTAGTAAGTACATTATAGTATATATTGGCGGTTTCGTAATAACAAGTTCTCTAATAAAGCCAATAAAATGAGAAGACTGTAAATAGTTTAATGTCAAATATATAGTATTCGTACAGTCAATTAATTTTTATTAAAGATCTTGGTTGTTTGACATTCCATCTCGAGATGTCGTAGTAATATGCCAAAAAACAGAAAAATTAATAATTTTTTTTAATAATGATGAAAGCAGAACACCTAGGCTACAGAAAAATAAAATTGTTTATCATGTATTAAAAAACTTTCTAAATGTGAACATATATGAAAATTTGCATATTAAATAAATTAATATTATTTAGAGGACAATAAATATATTTAAATTATTTTGTAGTTTTAATTAATATGACACTAAAATTTTCTGAATTACAAACTTAAAATTGAATATTTGTCATAAGATGCAATATAATGTTTAATATGTAATAAAAATATTACTTAATCCGGATCTGCTTAAAGATGCGCGCGATCAGATTGCCTTCCACACTCCACTTCCCCGGATTAACCATTCACTGGTACCCGTGCATTGGAATTAGATACGGCTAGTCTAGGTGGTCTGTGATTGGAACACAATCCGAATTTTTTGTTTGTCCCGTATAAACCTAATAAAACCACGTGGAAAATGGCATTAGGACGAAAAAGCGTCATCTGTTAAATATTTGAACAACTTCCAGAATCTTCTGGAAGTATTTAGACGCCATCTGTTGAACGTTAAACTGAAACTGTAAACAGTATCCTTGAGTAGACGAGTTAAAAAATCAATGAACGTAAATTACAATTTATTAATTAGCTGTACTTGGTGTTTCTTTGATCTGCACTGTCAAATATTTTTATTGCTGATGCTGTAAATAAACTCACTCATAAAACAGATTTGTTTTTAGTATTGTTACATTTCCCTGTACCTGCCTTACAAAAAACCATATAGGAAACTGTTATGTGTCGCGCATCTACTGAATGGAAGAAAAACTAAAACATTACGATCCATTTATTTTGCAAGTTGCTACTTTACAGGTATTATAAAATCATTTGTCAAATTTAATGTAAAGTCAATTCAGACTTAAACTTGTTTTCTTTTCATAAGGAGGTTTATAATAACAATCGGTATTAAAAAAGCATCTTTTATTATTATAAATAACGTATAAAATACAACAGCTAACCATTTATTTGAATCACACTTAGAAAGTACCTATGCCATTAATGCAATAAGTTGTTTATATTAAGAAAGAAAAGGGGCATCAAAAATCAAATCTTAAATATGTTTTCAATATCAATAAAAATCTTTTTATACTCGTTTTCATTTTAATTATTTTTCTGTTCTTTCAGTTATTTATGTGAAAGCTTGGGCATATAATATTAGAAAAATTAAGACTTCTTTACAATTAATTATTGTTATAAAAAATATTTTAATATATCTACAACACGATTACTGAGGGCATCAGGAAAATTGTATTTAAATGGTTTGAATTAATAGGACTTACTTACTAATTTTATTTATTTTTTAACTTCCACAGCACTTTTCGATTAATTGCTAATTAATATTGTGAATAAATATTTATCTAGGTATCATATTTTCAATCACAATAGGTTAAACAACGCTTAAGTTTTACTAACATCCTATATCTCTACAATACAAAAATAGTTACAATTTTGTTGTAATAGTTTGTAATATATGCAAAACAAAAGTTGTAATTGGTTAAACGAAGAACAAAAATTGTCACCGTGTATGCAGATTTGGAAAATTCCACATTATTTTTTCTTTCAAATTAATTGAACCTTATTAACAAATATTATCTTTTTATCAGTACATTTCAATTTCTTTTTCAAGAACAAATTTAGGAATTTATGCACAAGGGTAACTTTACGTTTCTTAGACTGCAGAGATTCGGTTCGAACGACCAAAAATGTATTACATATTTGTTGCAAAATGGTTTTTAATAAAATTTCAAATCGCAAATAGTAAAAATGTATAGTTGTATACATACATTTTTTTCATTAGCCAATTAGCACTTTACTATATACAGTGTGGAACAGGCAAATGGAATAAATTCAGTATCTCAATTATTGTGCATATTTATAAAAAATCTCGAGACTTGTCGATTTTGGATTCTAAAATGACATCCTGCAACGTGAAAATTTCATCCCTAAATTCAACCCCCTTCGAATGACAGTTACAACCCCTAAATTTTTAAATAGGAAGTAGGGGCTTGTGATACCACATTTGAAAGGTATTTTCATTCTCTATTCAAAAATACTTTAATATTTATTGCAAAAATTAGCAGAAAAAAAATAAATTCATCAGTTTGATGAAATTCGTTACAGCAAACTAAAAAATACTTAATTTCAACGAAGATGTTCAAAATTAGTTCCTTGAACGTCTTGGCCGCATACTAATTGTAAATAAAAATGTCTTCTAACGTTTTCCAACATCAGAGGCCTGACCGATGTAACCGCAACCAATATTTTTTTTTCAATAAAATTGGCAATGCCAGCTACGAATAAATTTGATAAGTAGTTCTAGCTTCTTTTTAGTTGAAAATGTTGAAAAAGAATGTTTAAAAATTTAGGGTTTGCAACTGCCACTGGAAAAGGGTTGAATTTGGAAATGAAATTTTTACGTTGCAAGATGTCATTTCAGAATCCACAATCGACGTTTTCGGGATTTTTTATAAATGTGCACAATAATTGGAGATACTGAATTTATTCCATTTGGATGTTCCACACTCTATACAGGGTGGTCCGAATTTTATGCAGGAAACTTCGCGGATGGATAGATCTTTTTAAAATATAAAATATGTGTTTGCCCTATAAACATAGTCTGGAACGGCCCCGTTTTAGAGATACAGGGTGTTGAAGTTTTTTTGTTTATATCGCACACTACCTCACATGTGGTGTAGAAAGGAGTGTAAATAATTGCACTTACTTTTAAACATAAACAAATATTCTTGTAATATTATCGTTAGAAGTGTCTGTCACAAGGGGATTGTATTGGTATGAATAACTTGAGAACGGCTAATCTTAGGGAAAAAATTAAAATCACCTTTTTACGTATTTTATGCATTAAAATATAAATCAGTTCCAATGACATGTAAAAAATGCAGTGGCGTAGGTTTTTTGTAAAAAAGGGGTAACCCCTGTCCAGTTTTACACCAGTGGTTGAACCTTTACAGCTCATATTTCATGGAATATAAGGCCTACTGTCATACATTATATGTACCAAATTTTATTGAGATCGGTTAATAGATTCCGGAGATATAAACAAAAAATCATTTTCTTCAACACCCTGTATCTCCAAAACGGTACCGTTCCAGACCTATGTTTGTAAGGGAAACACGTATTAATTTAAAGAGATCTGCCCTCGAAGTTTCCTGCATAAAATTCGGACCACCCTGTATATTTAAAACACAAAGTATTTCTTTAATACCTGTTGAATTTTAATTTAAAAATTTTGAAAACGATACGACAAACATTCGAATTGTTACCTGTCGACTTTTTTACACACATTAATTTCGTAAGTAGGTATCACATTGGAGTGACACTGTAAGCATTTATTGTTATACGTATTAATAGTATTTTATTTGATTCTTTACGATATCAAGGCAAACTACGTCTTGTCATACTAACAGAAACAGCACAGAACCGTAATAAATGTTACTCCTTTAATACATTTTTCAATATTCAAAATTTTACAATATGCCATTTACAACTTATAACCGTCACATTTTCAGGGTTAAGAATTAACAAAAAACGATATAAAATTTGCTTTTATCGCAAGGTTTAGTGTCGCTGGGTGATATGCGGAATTTAGTCATTAAATTTGCTACTCGACATTTTGAACAGCTTTAGTCGTCACGAGAAAATGAGTAAGTAAAAACAAATGGATAACTACTCCTGCACTATAATAAAAGTTTAAACAAACGCTTCATTAACAGCGTCCAATCTGTTAATGTTTGCAAATGAAATTGAGTTTTATCAGAAGTATTCGTATTTTCTATTCTGTTACTACTAAATGAAGAAGATTAAAATACATCGAAAAGTTAAGACCAAATCCCGAAAAACCACCCAACTCCTAAAACATAATTCGTACCCTAATGCGATTATCTTTTTCCTGCTGCCTTTGGCTTGGGCTTGTTGAATTGAAAGTTAACACACTTGGGAATATGTCTTTCTGCGGCAGCTTGGTTGAACCTCCTGCCGCAGTGGGGGCACTGTACGTAGTCCGGGTTCGACGATGGGGGAGGCGGTGGCAAATCGGACAGTTTGCCGCCTTTGGCCAGGTGAGCTTGTGTTTGTTTTGCCGCCCTTATGGCTGCTATGAATTCCTCGTGAGTTCTCCTCCAGTCTTTCTTGGACGTTTGTTTGGACTAGAAGGACACATAAATTAGGTTTAGTTTTTAACAATGTGTAGAAAGTTTGTTTTAACAGCAGTCACGAACTAGTTTGAAACTATTAAAATACTAGATATAACAGCGAGGTTGAGGCAAACTTTAAGGAGTGACTCCTTTCGTCATAAAAAACAAAAGTAATATACAGTGTGACCCATTTTAAATGGAAACAGGCTTAGAAAAATGGTATTTATTATCCAATTTATTTCTGATATTTTCTAGTAGATGGAGCAGTAAAAACTCTATTCTGGCGCAAAATATTAAAATTTGATTTCTATGTTCAAGGCCTACTTCGAATTTTTTTCACTGTCAAATTTTACAAAAACTGTTCAGCGATTTTTTTATTTCAAATCTAACTACGGCACTGGATTCAGCATCTCCTAAAACGATTTGGTGCCAAAATTCGTAAATAAATATATAATAATGAGGGATTTATAACAATTTTAATGTAGGCTTCATTTTATTAAATACTGTTATAGTAATTTTCTGAAAAAATGTTGGCTATGAAAAATGATTTAAAAAAAAATTAAAAATTAATTTTGCGCTTTTAATATAATAATACAATAAATTTAACATCACAATACAATGACATTTTAAATTTTTGTAGCCTCTACAAGGCTACCGTTAATTTCGATGCACTTTTCGAATCCCTTACGAATATTTCTTTGAACATTCTGCAGTTCTTGCGGGGTAACTTATTCACAATGATTCTTGGACACAACTTTTTTCTATTGCCTGGGCGTGACCTTGGATTTTATGACACACCATAAAAAGAAGTCCAACGGCGTTAAGTCCGGGGACCTGGGTGATCATCTAATTAAGGGGCTATTTCTACCTATCCATCGGTTAGGAAAGTTGAAAGTTGAAACATGAAGTCACTCGGTAACCACTCTTGCATTGTGGATATGACATCCATCTAACTGAAACTGACTTACTTTTTCTTGTACTGGAAGTTCATGTAATATATTCCAAAATTCATTTCTTAGGAATTGCAAAACTTACCATCAAAAAAGAAAGGGTTAATGATCGTTTTATTGAGTCGTTTACAATTAATAACCGACTCTGGTATTTCTGTAGCCTAGTACTAGAATTTTGTGACTATACCATACACTATTAGTTGTAAAAGTTGCCTCATCGCTGAATATAATAGTTTTTAGAAGATTTCTATTATTGAGGTACTCTCCTTGAGCCCATAAGCAAAATTCCATCCTCCTTTCATCATCACCAGGTTCCAAGGTGTGTAAAAACTTGTGTTTGAACTATAAAAATAATTTGGCTATAAAAATAATTTGTTATTCATAGCACTATTATCAGTTTTCTATCCTTGGTGTACAATGGGACAAGTTAAATAGATTTGTTAAATCAAATAATGTCTGTAAAGTATAGTTTCCTCCTAAAAATTAGGACATGTAAAAAATATTGTAAACTATTTCAAAAGTGCATCGACATAAATAGTGATTATTTAATAAAATAAGCCTAGAACATTAAAATTGCTATAAATCCCTCATTATTAAATATTTATTTACGAAATTTGGCATAAAACCGTTTTAGGGGATGCTGAATCCAATGCCGTAGTTAGATTTGACATAAAAAAAATCGCTAAAAAGTTTTTATAAAATTTGACAGTGAAAAAAATTCGAAGTGGGCCTTGAACATAGAAAACAAATTTTAATATTTTGCACCAGAATAGAGTTTTTACTGCTCCATCTTTTCGAAAAAACCCGAAATAAATGGGACAATAAATACCAGACATGTTTCCACTTGAAATGGGTCACACTGTATGTATTTGTAAAAACAGTTCACGATTCTTCAGCGATGAAATATGAAGCATAATTTTTAATGAGTTACTTAACAACAGATGAAACAATATAGTGCAGACTTCTTATAGCTCTTATAGTAAAAATAAAACTGAAACAAGATTGAATAAGTAGAGTTAGAATTACGAGAATGACGAGTTTAAAGAGTATCAAGTTCTTGATGTCGTAGAAAATATTCATATTCAGATATGGACGGACTATTTCCAATCGAAACGTTTGCGTCTCTATATTGTTTTTTTTAAAAAACGCACAGCTGAAGAGTAGAAGTCCAAAAACCCATAACAGTATTATCAACATCGTTAGCAGCAAATTATAGATAAAATGATTGTATTTGCAAAGATTCCCATTTACTGAAATGAAAAATAAATGACTTGGATATTTTTTATAAATAGAGTAAGAGGAATCATCTGAATCTAAGTACGATATTTATTAATGTTCTTCTGATCTTGAGATCTTGATTATTGAATGTTACATTTTAAGAATAAAAAAGCTCAAGAGATACTTAAGTTTTAACGAAAATGATTTATTTATGTTTCTGTAAAGGAAGATTCTCTTCATGTCAGAATTTCTTTTGATAGCTGAAATCTCTCAAGTACCTGAAGCTTAGAACACATTAATACGTGTTTTGATGACACATGTTAAAGCGTTTTACAGAACTTTTTATTACATTATATTACATATCATTCCCTTCATATAAAATCATAAGAATAACAATGACATACAACCTGAACATTGTGAATGAATTTTCGGAAATTTGTAGTAGTTGGGTTATTCTGCGTTATAAATTACAATACTTATGGGAAACGCGTTTTTAGTGTGTGTAAACGAACGTATGTAGTACTTGATTTAGCCGTCGTTAGAAACGCCATAGAAAAGGTGTACGCGCGGGGAGCTAATTGCCCGACTATAATTTTATGAATTAAAAAAATACAACGGAGAAATTTTAAATCGTAGTAATAATTAAAATGGATCAAAATGTTGGTTGTAGCAAATGGTCTGTTGGTCATAAACGCCCTAACTTATGCGAAGGTATCATTTTATAGAAAACACAATATTTATAAACTCAATCTTTGAAGTTTTCTTGATAACACTTATTTTCGATTTCCGCACTTTTCATCCTCTTTACTAGTCCAGGTGTTAGCGATATGTCACTTTCCATAATTTCGACTTCGAAGTATAATACCTAACAGTTCCAGATAGCCGTCAACGTGTTGAGAAATCAACCGCTGTTTTTTATTTATTATTTAACCTACTCATCGAACAAAAGATCTAGTAACAGGCGCGTTTCAGTGAAATATGTTTTAAGCGCTATTAAATTCAACACGAGAAAATTTATTGATAATAATTTATATCTTAAATTTCATTATAAGCCATATAAGTCATCATAACACATGATTAGAAAAATAACCTTCTGCAATATATTCTTAACATTTCAAACTTAACCACTATTTCATTATCGTTAACACATCGCTAACGCATCTATTATATGCAATTTTGTACCTATTTACAATTTATGTCGCGTTCTGATGATACATGTTTGACACCAAGAAATATTGAGAATTTATTAATGCTGGGAAATGTTAAGTATTCTATTTTATCTGTTATTATACCTATTACAAACGAAACTTTTTTTCCTATCTAATTTAATAGCATTTTATGATATTTGTTATGTTTTTTATGTAATTGGTAAAATAACTCCTGGAGCCAAAAGAGTCAGTGAAGCAATTGAGTTTACTAATTTACTGTTGCTTAACTATAAAATGTTCGAAAACACTGCTTTCGTTCTAAAATCTATAATCAATTTGACTGAAAGTCAATTGTGAATTTTTAAGTAAACTAATAAGAATTTTGAGAACATAGATTTTAATGTGAGAACCTTTGTGGTTATGCAAAATTAAATTTGTAAATTCAACACTGATTGATTATTCTGGAGCAAAGATTCTTTATTTTTAAATGTTTTTATTTTCTCCTAAGTGTGGCAAAAATGCTCAATCAAATAGGTACATAAGTAATATAAAAACCAAAAAATCAATTACTACATACAGTATTTATACGATAGGTATTGGATTGAAACTTGCTATTAGAGAGGTTTGTTCGTTGGGTATTTTCAATAATAAATAAGTACTTGGACTGATGCCTCAACACGATGACAGAAATGTTAGATATTAGAAACAAGTGTTGTGTCGCCATTATTTATCTTGATATCGGCTTCTGATGACACATCTGAACAATAGGGGTTTATGACTACGGGTGCTCTCAGTTTACTATCATGTTATTTTTAAGGTTTGAGACGAATGATATGGTTCGCTTCGATCACTAGAAGTTAATTTTCGTAAACCTCTGTTGTGTACGCTTCTATTTAAAATAATAAAAATATATGTTAACACTGGCATCACGAGACAATAATGTGATCTAAGCTTTAGCGTGTTTTTACAATGAGGGGGTGTTTGCGAAAAGTTATTTAGCGTTTAATCATTGAATATTATTCTACAATGAAAATTAATGACAGTCGTATAAACAATTTCCCTAAAACTCTTTAAATATTCTGTCAAAAAGTATCCAGAATTTGTCATTTAAAAATTCCGCGTAAAGTAAATTTAACTTTATTGTTTGGTGGAAGTAAGTAGCACTGTACTCTACTCTGACGCGAAGTTTGAGGGCGATCTGTCAAATAGTTTGTTTGCAGTTGTTAATTCTGGTAGACCACCTAAAGTGTATTCCGCGATTTTTATTATGGTTAATGATATAGAACAATGAGTTTGCCTAAAATTTTATGCCACCAATGAAATTTCTTGTGCTGAATCGTTGGAAATGTTGGGGAAGATATACGGTAATTGAGTTGTATCAAAAACTCAAGCACACGAATGCAAATGGTACGCATTGAAGTATGGTCGGGAGGTGGTTGATGATTTGCCACATTCTGGTCGTCCTTTAACGTCTTTAAATGACGAAAGCATCGCTAAAGTGAAGGAAATGGTGCTTGCAAACCGTCATTATAGTTTGATAGAGCTTGCATATGAACATAACATATCTCACGAATCAGTTTGCACCATGTTAGATAAAGTATTTAGGTACGAAACGCGTCGTAGCACGTCTGGTTCAAAAAGAACTTAATTTCCTTCAAAACAAGAATCGCAAACATGTTGCTGAAGACATGCTTGAACGAGCTAATTTTGACTTTACATTCATGCAACGCAGATAACGGGTTTACTAGTTTGGCGTGCAAACTAGCCAACAAACTTCAGAACGGCACTTTTCTAATGATGCGAAATCAAAAAAACCACGTCAATGTCGATCAAAAATCTAAAACATGTCGACTGTTTTTTTTATTATCATGGTGTCCACACAGAATTCTTTCCGGATGGAGAAACAGTCAACAAAGAATATTATCTGGGCGTTATGAGACATTTGAGAGAGAGTATTCGCTGCAAAAGGCTAGATTTATGGAAGGTCAATTCTTGGATTTTGCACGACGATAATGCACCATCACATTGGTCGTGCTTTATTATGAAGATAATATTGGAGAATAGTGAAGACTATTCTCCTATGCGTCACTTCTAAGTGTATTAAAGTATTTATTGCCCCAGAGATGAATAAAAAATTATTCATTTTATGAATGATATAAGTAAAGGGTAAAACATATTTAATAACAGATGAACTAAAAGTAACCCTACTACTACGTACTGAAATATGAACAAAAACATAAACTGTTCACTGTTTAATTTGTTGACTGTTGACAGCTGCAGCTGTAAAATGACGATACTAATGTCAGTTTGTAATCGGACCGTGTTATAGATAAATGCCATTCTATCAGATCTGACTCCAGAAGTAATTCAACACCTGCAATGTAGGTACAGTAGTCAATTAAGGGCCGCATATATTTGATAGTTTCAAATAGTTCAAGTCTAGCTGCTAAAACAACTTAGGTATTTAAAGTAAAAATGTTTCTGTTTCCCACATAATTTGATATGGAGATTGTAGGTATTTGAGGCATGCACTAATCTATTAATAATAAAAACGAAAAATTGTTTTTTACAAGTGTTTGTTGAACTGTAGGAACAAAGCATACATATAATTAGAGATAATGATTGACAAATCATCCTTAAATCTCAACAGATATTTGGAAGCTTCCTACCTTCCTTGGATATTTACAGACATTTTTATAAGCGTCTCGTATATTTAATGGGTACAAGGTTAAGATCTCATTTCTTTTATTTTACTGTTTATTAAATTACAGCAATGAACTAAATAATTACATGAATTTAGATCTCAAATCTATTCACTCTCTGCAATTTGTCTGCGTAGAAATTCCGAACAATTCTTGCAGTCTCTCAATAATTACTACATATTTTTTTATTCTTTTTATTTAACATTGACCTGACTTTAGGATGCTCTCAGTGATCTAAGGAATGATAATAAACATAAATTCATTCATTAGAAAGTTACAAAATTGAATAAATTATAGAGTTGTGGGAAATGAGCTATATTAAATGATGACTTAATTTTCTTGTAACTTTCACAGACCAACAGATGAACGGAATGTCATAGAAATATATTTTTCTTTTGAATAACTATGATTATAAATAATACAAACTTTTCTAAAAGTTCTAGAATTATTTATTATGAAGAAATATCAATTTACTACGTAGTTGTGCAATAGTTATTTCAATGTAATAATGTAATAACGAGTGTAACTATTGACAGTTATTTAAAAAAAGGAACTGATTAAATATAGTAAAACTTATTAACATGGGGAAATATATGGTGAAGCTATGATTAAATGTAACATAACTATCCTTCAAAATTAATTGATTCTGTTTTTTTTTTTGGTAATTTCATCAACTCTGTAACTTACTCAGTTTCTGAGATCTACGTATGGTGGATATCCTTAAGGAAATTAGGCTGCACAACGCCGTTCATAAATCTATTTTTATTGATATTTACTTCTTTGCTATAAAAATATTTGATACTAAACGTAAATTTGAAAAGGTATGATCGAAAACGTGATTTTTTGGATAAAAAGAAATCTGAATCACTCTGTACGGTATGATTAATTTATTATAATAATTAAAAATAACTTAAATCGACCTATAGAATCTGTGTGAGTGTGTGTTTACCTTATGTGCCGGATCTATGTAAATGCAATAAAAATTAAGTAATAATGTGATAGCAAGCGTTCAAACAGTGAAAAAATATAGGTATGTGTATATTCAAAATTTATCATGCATTAGACATTTTTTATTATAAAATAAGACGAGAAGGCTATTAAAAAAAAGAAAAAGTATTGCAGCATTTGCCCAATGCAAAATATAATAAACATTGTACCTTCGTTATAATCTCTTGTCTTGCAGTTGAATCAGGTTGTTTCCAATTCTATTAATTAAAACAAAAACAATTCATTACATGGGGTGTTTCATATAAGTCAGCACTAACTTTGTTATTATTAAAGATACATAGAAAATGGGTTACTCTCAGAGAAATAGGAATTTTCTGCTGGTCAATATAAGCGTAAGAGAAACACAATTATTACACAGCACTTGCGAGATATAGGCCATGCAAAAGATTCTTTTGTATCTACTAATTCATAGACTTAATAGACTATAATATAATATAGTGTTACCGATATTAATCAGCAGAAAAAATACTACTTGTTTGATAATTTAACCAATTTATATCTTCAATAGTGGACATTAGAAATAGTACCAACTTAATTAAAAGGGTAATACAATTTTCAATACATTTTTTCAGTTAACTGCGGTAGTACTTAATAATGCAAGGAAAAAATGATATGTTCTAGCATTTTTCATTCACAATATATTATTATCTTATTATTATATATACAGGGTAGCCCATCGAAAACGTACCGCAAGACATTACAGGGTAGTAATGAACTTTTCGGCAAAATCCAAAAACAGGTAAAGTTTGCTTCTGAAGGGGACAACTTTTGGCGCAAAAAGCATAGTAAAATCTTCAACCCCCTAAGTGGGGGTGCCATTCCCCAAATTTTTTTTAAATGGGAATGGGGGTCAAGTGGGGGGTCAATAGAAAGGGCTTTTAATTCTCTATACATCGATTCTTACTTTTTGAAAATCGATCCATTATTTTAGAAAATATGCAGCTTTGAAAATACGAACAATATTTTTGACGAGAAATGCGAAAATCGATTTAATTTTACTTCAAAACTTACGGTATTAGCTTGGTAAATTCCTTCAAAAGAATTCGCTGTTTTTTTTTCTGATTTGCGAATTCTTTAGCCTGATTTTGGTGAGCAAAAAATTGTCCGCTTTTTGTTTCGTATTTAGATAGGCCACAAGAAGTTGCTAGATAACTGTCTTGTGACTTGTAGTTGAAGAGTACCAATACTGCCGAGTCTTTTAAATTGATTAATTATGGTGTACTCAATTCCAGAAAGAGTAGAAATTATTGAGCTTTTTTTCAAAAACAATGAATGCGGAAATCGGGTCGCCGAACTGTTCAACCAACGGCATCCTGAGAAACATGCGTCTGGAAAAATTGTTCGCGAATTGGTGGCCAAATTTCGCGAAACTGGCTCCGTTCATAACAAAAAGAGGCAGGTTGAAAATCCGGTACTAAATGAACCTACGGAAATAGCGGTATTGGGGCAAGTGGCAATGGATAGTACGCTGAGTACAATGCAATTGGCTACTGCGACAGGAGTGAGTCGTACAAGTGTCCAACGAATATTAAAAAAATACAAATTCCATCCTTATAAGATTCGGCTAGTGCAAGAGCTAAATGAAGACGATTTTGATCGTCGTTTGCAATTTTGCGAAATAATGACTGAACGAGCGATAAACGATAATTTCCTCTTTAATGTGTGTTTTTCGGACGAGTGTACGTTCTTCTTGAATGGTTTAGTGAATCGCCATAATTGTCGTTACTGGGCTGATACCAATCCAAGGATTTTCCATGAGACACACTCCCAACACCCCCAGAAGTTGAATGTATGGGCAGGTATTTTTGGAAATTCCATTGTAGGTCCTTTTTTCCTTCCTGGAAATTTGACAGGCGATATGTACTTGGATTTACTACAAAATGTCATCGACCCAGCTCTAACAAATATCATAGAGGACGACCCTGCTTACAATGAACACGAACTGATTTTCCAGCAAGACGGAGCTCCTCCACATTACTCGCTCAATGTGCGCAATTACCTAAATGAGACGTTTCCAGGACGCTGGATAGGACGAAGAGGTGCAATTGAGTGGCCCCCTCGGTCACCCGACTTAAATCCTTTAGATTTCTTTCTCTGGGGGCACATTAAAAGCAAAGTTTACAGCACTCCACCTGATACCTTGGAAGATCTGCGAGGACGAATCATTAATGTATGTCGCGAAGTAACACCGCAAGTGCTCCAGAATGTTCGACAACGGTTTGAAGACAACCTGTATCATTGTATGCAAGTTGGCGGACAACATTTTCAGCATTTACTTGACTAATACCGTAAGTTTTGAAGTAAAATTAAATCGATTTTCGCATTTCTCGTCAAAAATATTGTTCGTATTTTCAAAGCTGCATATTTTCTAAAATAATGAATCGATTTTCAAAAAGTAAGAATCGATGTATAGAGAATTAAAAGCCCTTTCTAATGACCCCCCACTTGACCCCCATTCCCATTTGAAAAAATTTAGGGGATAGCACCCCCACTTAGGGGGTTGAAGATTTTGGTATGCTTTTTGAGCCAAAAGTTGTCCCCCTCAGAAACAAATTTGACCTGTTTTTGGATTTTGCCGAAAAGTTCTTTACTACCCTGTAATGCCTTGCGGTACGTTTTCGATGGGCTACCCTGTATAGTACTCACAGATAGATGAAACAACGATTATAAAAAAAAATATTATGCATTTTAATTCCGATAAATGAAATATGCCACAGAAATTTAGTATTATTTATACCGTATCAGTAGTAAAATGTCTTATTTATAGGAGGTGAGACAATATGTTAAGAAAATATACCTATTTAAAATTAAAAAACTGAGGACGACCTTTTTAAATATATCTACAGAAAAAACATTGTAATTAGCAATTAAAAGTGCCTATTTTCCAAATATACTAACAAGATGGAAGTATACGTACCTATATTAAATATTGAAACCTATAAAATGTATCTAACAATAAATTTTTGTAAACTGCTAAAATATAAGCGAATATTATTAAAATAAAATAAAATTTAGATAACGTGGCTTTTTAAAAAAGACACAGATGATATATATCACCACAATTACATAGGTATATGGCCGTTGTCGTTAAATCTAATATCAATTCAATAATATAGGGTGCCTTGTAAATAGTCTAGCATGTCGAAGGGGTCATTCCATATGGTTAGAGTACCCGTAGGCAAAACTTTTATTGATACATACTTTCTCTAAACTTCTTATACAGTTTCATTAGGTCTAGTATGACACCTTTTCTTTTGTGACTTTTTTCGATTTTGGGGCGTTTTCCCTCTAATTTTTCCGAAACACGTCGGTTTGACGACATATGAAAAATTTATAGATACTGTTTTTATTTAATTTGAATAGCTTAAAAACTTTAAATGAAACGTGAAAATAAGATTCTCTGATAAAAGATATGAGCCGTTCAAAATGTCTGCAACTCGACCATGTCAGAAAAACTACTATAAAAAAAATTATTAATAACCAGCTGATTTTATCTTATCTGATTTTTTTTAAATTTCTGAAATCTTCCCTTAACTTCTAGCCTCCCTAACTCTGTTAATTTTAATAGTACAAGAAAAAGCTAAGAGACCATTTTTATGTAGAATTGTCTGCTTTACAACTTTCATGAAACTTTTTTTTCTAGCTCTTACCCTTTTTGAGTTATCTTGAAAAAGCCCTTTGTTTTATCTTTTTCCACCCTTGGCCGGGGGTTGAACAAAAAATTACTCTCACTTATTGTTATAATATACCTTAAACTAACTCATATCAATAATTCAGCCAAGTTGACAAAATTTCGATTCAAAGGCTTAGTTAATTGGACTATTAATAACCAGCTGATTTTTTCACCATAGCTTAATTAAAATAAAGAGCATACAATTTTTTAATTGTCTGATAAAATGTATTTTCCAATTTTTCAGTCTGATGCATGAAATACAACTTTTTAATGTTTGTACTCTCATAATTTCATAATTATTTCATATTAATCTTTGAAGAATAAATTTTATTACTTCAGAAATCATTGATGAATCATATTTATTATTCATTGAAATGCAAACAGAAATTTTCCCTTTAACTGATTGCTCTAACTATTTTGGTGGAACTTTTTCAGCCAATTTTGCACAAATTGAGCTAAAAATTGTTTAAATATACATTGCAATATTACGAAGGGCACGATACCTATAACCATTTTATGAAAATTTTAATAAAAGCTATGGTAAAGTCTTTTCTTCATTTTAACCTAAAATTGCCGCATTTCTTCATTTTTTGGCCCTCATGAAGAAAAATACCGTTCGATACATGTTTGGGACATATTTTCTGGACGAGTGTGATTGTCAACTTGCACACTCACCCCACAAACATCTTTTGAAAAATACTATTACAATGTTTCAAATTATGTATGAAAAATTTCAGCTCAAAATTTCCCCGGGATTTCCCGGAAAATTTTATTGGAAAATTTCGGAAAAGCGCCTGATTCATAAGGCTTTAATTAGTACGTAAATAAGATGTCAGCTCCATCCTAGCAAAATTGACGTAAAAAATTGATTAAAAATTTTTTGATCCTAGCAATCCTTAAGAAACAATCTATTAAATTTTCAGATCTTGATTCCGAAACTGAGGAAGAAGAAAATTACAACAGTGATGATACACATGAAGAAAGTACGGATGACGATGAAAGCGATGACGAAAATAATTTTTTTATAATTTTTTTTTATTTTATATTTTTTTGTCATTTTTTCGTCAGACTCTAGTGACGCTCCAATATATTTGTCAGAGATGTGTACCACTTATTAAATACTGCTTTTCTGCATATAATTTTTCAATGTCTGACGGTTATTAATAAATTTTTTGTAGTCATGAAATCGACAACTTTGACGCGTCAGACAATATGAAAAGTTGTTTTTGCAGTTCTTAAAGATAGGATCCTGAGAAAATCAGCTGGTTATTAATAAATTTTTTTATAGTAGGTTTTCTGACATGTTCGAGGTTGCAGACATTTTGAACGGCTCATATCTTTTGTCAGAGAATTTTATTTTCACGTTTCATTTGAAGTTTAATTTAAAAACAAAACAGTATCTAAATTTTTCATATGTCGTCAAAACGACGTGTTTCGGAAAAATTAGAGGGAAAACGCCCCAAAATCGAAAAAAGTCACAGATGAAAAAGGTGTCAGACTAGGCCTAATGAAGCTATATAAGAAGTTTGGAGAGAGTATGTATCAATAAAAGTTTTGCCTACGGGCACTCTAACCATTACGCCATATTAAGAACAAAACTTCAAATAATGTCTTAAAAGGTCCATTTCTCGAGAACACTGAATAATAATAATTTTTTTCACTTTTCTGGATGTATCTTATAAACTGCTTGAATTATATTCCTTAAACTTTTTCTTTACTTCGCTAAATGACATTCCTGGATTAATGTCAATATGTTTTATTGTGCTAATATTTTAAGAAAAGCACAGGACAATGATTTTAATTTTTTTTCACATGCAATTCTTTCAATACTACTCGAGTTATTTCAGACTTGGTTTACAGAAAAAATTAATTGATTTTACTAATTGTAGTAATTACGGGTACATATCAAAAAATTCAGATTTTTCTCAAATTTGCTTTTTCAAAATCAACAACATTAAAAAATTGGACATAACTATTAATAAAATACGAGGCAATTTTCCAAATTGTTCTTAAAACGACCGGAGCAATCACTTCCTTCCCTATTTTATATTAATTATGAAAGAATCCGTGCATCAAATATATGCATCTAAAACAGAAATCTACTTGTTTCTTTACCTTTCGTTTATGAAACCATGAATTTATTCCGGGCAAATATATTTCCAAAATTACTGTTTACAATTTATTTTATCTTTTTATTTATAAGTAATTTCTTACCTTAGTACTGGTCCCAGATCTGCCTTTCTGTCCTCTTAAGACGTAAGACTCTAGTTCGGTGCCGACCACTCGATGCTTGGTGGCGTCGTACACTTTCCGCTTTTTTTTGCCCGTCTTGGAACAAATGTCCTCGTGCTTCTGAAGACGGTCGGCCGCAAACCTTCTTCCGCAGAAGTTACATTCCATTAGGTCATCTCGCGCTACTCCCGACTTACCCGACTGTTTGGCCGAAGGGCGAATATTGGCAGGGGCACGGGGGGTAGCTGGTTTTTGCTAAAAAAGTAGAAATGAGATTAAAGTAAACCATTAAAACTGTGTTTAATTTAGACATTTGAATGTCATAATTAGGTGTAAAAAATTTCAGCAATCTTTCTGACGAAAATAAAGCAATTAGCTGAATATAACATCCTCATCAAAATGCTTCCTAATTAAGTTAAAAAAATAAAAATATATATTTTTTCATTCTGGAATTTTATTCCGCATATTATTTTAGACATTTTTGTTTGTTTTTTTTTTCAAAAACGCATAATTGCTTAGTTATTTAAAACAAAACATATAAAAGAATTCCAAGTAACTTCTACTGTAGAGTGGTTTGTAACGAAAATATGGTCCATTTAAATGACTATTACGAATATCGCATCAATTTGAACTAATTTCCGAGATATGCTGTTTCCATTCAAATGGAATACTTAATACACTTTTACATTCATAATTTTAAGGACGTTAGACATTTTGAATTCACTTTACGAGTAATTTATTTAGTTATTTTAGTTCTAATCTATTACCAGTTATCATGCTCAACTTGCTACTGTAGCTTAACTTTTAGCCTTTTAGCTTTTTGGATATTTTATGTCGGCCTAGGTATTTCCGCTACTATGACTACACCGACGTAACGTCAAGAAATCTAACCTGGAAATTTTGCCGAACCGGTATTTTGTCGTGGGGTCTTTTACTTGCCTAACATTGTTTAGACAAGGGACTCGTATTTTCGGTGTCGAATGTTACAGAGTGTGTTGTAATAATTGGAACGCGTAAAGGGATTGTAGTACCAAAAGGTTTCACACTATTTCGAGGTAATTCCTACACTTTACCAGTCCTCAAAAAAGTGGTTAATGTATCGAATTTGAATGAACTATCTAAAAAAAGATAAAACAAAATTGGTAAAAATTGTGTCAAAAACGTTTACGGACAGTGGAATATTGTAATGCATTACAGATATGTATTTTAATTACAAGAAAATCAGTTGATGGAGTACTTTCATGATGATATCTAGTACTTCAAAAAATTTTTCCGAAGAAAATTGGAGATGGTGTTCCCCAGAGGAAATTCTTCTTTCTCAGTATTTTAAAAAGCATTTGATTTATTTATTGCACGACTACTCGTAGTGCAGAACTATTTTGAATGCTAAAAAATGAGTCTATTAAGGAAAATGTATTTTACATCCAGTGAATCTATGTTTAACAAGAGCTATCTATGGCTTGGTACACTAATTAAGAAACATGCCTATTTATTGCAAATGGAGACTGAGATTCAGCTCCGCAGTTGAGCCAAATTCGATTAAATTAAGTTAGGCATAACCAACGTAGAGAAAAGTTGTACAAAAAATGACAAAATTTTTGTGTAAGAAAATTTTTTATAATGCCATATACAATTTGCTTCACCATCTCTATTTGATGTCTTAAATTATGACATTAAGGACCACTATCACTTGTTTTTCACGCAATAAATAAACTATTTCCATGGTCTAGTTAAGACGCAGGCATATTTTGTGGGTCACCTTGTATAAGGTTCACAATAAAACACTAAATTCCTATTTATTTTTTACTGAACAGGAAAATATTGTTCTTATTAAGCATTCGAATCGAATTGGATTTTCTTTAAGCTGTAGAAGAAATCATTCCGTTGAGAATAGGACTACCTAGTTGTGTATAAATACTTTTAGTTACTACATATTTATTTATGATAAAATATTCAAAAGACTCTACAGCTAGTTACCGGACAAGTTTAAACTTGTATTTTTATAAATGCTTCTATTTTCTTCGGAACACGTAGCTAGGATTAGAATAAGAAAAATAAAACCAAACAAAGAAACTGAGCATAAAATTACAAAATGTAGCGTGAAACCAGAAATTAAAAAGAGAGAAAGAATAAAAAATAATTATTGGTGATCTGATTACAATAGTTTTTTTTTATGTCAATCGAACAGGATGAGATATCAAGCCGCGACTCAATATTCGCACAATTAACTGCCATTAGAGAGATTCTCATGTTCTTTAAATATTGGCATTTTGGTTTTCAATCCAAAGCAGGTTACTTCTTGCATTTAACCTAGGTGTTTGGTAAAGGATCAGAGAGATTATAAATATAACAGGATCTTGATAGTACGAGTATTTCGAAAAACTTCAAGGAGCGATTCCTTGCCAAAAAGTAAAACGTTTACCATCGAAGTTAAAGAGATAGATTAAAATTCAGTTTTTTATTTCTCACAGTTGGGAACACATAGAAGAATGCTTTTTGGGACGTTATTGTATCTTCCCTATACCGACATCTTTAATCATATGCGATCCTCGAAAGGGGTTGAAAATTGCAACTCCTAAGGTTTTTTTCATTGTTCATCTTTCCACGGAATTGGAAATTTGCAATTCAAAAAATTCCGTTTAGAAACTTGATTCACCTAGAAACTTTTCTCTTTCTATTTTTGCTAAATGCTCCTAGTTTTCATTTCTAATCTGCATTTAACCTTCTCTTAGGAATTGAGTACGAGCCGCCACTGATTTACATTGACAATTAGTTAAAAATTACTGAAACATCTTACTACTTACTTTTGCTGACATTGTGGAGCTGGGTGATTTTGATGGTGATGTGGGGGTTGTATTTCTGGGTGACTTAACCGGTACAGGAGCAGGAGACACAGAAGGTTTTGACGCCTTAATTGGTTTCCTTGGAGCGGGCTGAAAGTATAATTAAAATTTTTAGGAGTTGTGTTCTAATGAATAGTGTAACGAAATAAAATTTTACCTAAATTAAGAAATTTATCGTCATCACAATTAAATGCACATACAATTTTGAAAGAGAAATGTCAAACTGAAGTTAATATTTTTTATAACTGACAGGTAGGTACCTTTTTTTTCAAGAATATAAATGAAAATGTGATGATAATGATGTCATGTTAAATATTTGGTTAAATGTATCCGTAAATTTTACGTAAAATAATTATTGCAGTGATTTAATTTTTTAGTTATCAACATCTCATATTAAATAATTTGGCTTTGGTGTTGTTATTACTGTCTTCATTTGAAGTACAAACAAGTACAATAATATTATCTTCATATTTTTGGGATATGCATTATTATCATTAGACTTCTCGTTCTTGATAAAATTAAGTTTTCAATGTGTGTTGCAATATCTTTACAAAATTATACAGGCAATTCTTAAACCAAATATAAGAAAAAAAAGTTATATAAGTGTAAGCCCACAAATACTTTGTTTTTGAGATATAGGATAAAAAAACTCTTTCATAGTTATTCTTAAGTGAACAGGAAAGTTTTTTTTGTTTGTTCCTTAACAACTTTTGTGGTTGCGAAAACAACAGCGTGTTTCTCAATTCAGAAGAACTAAGCGTTAAGTAGCCAAAAATTCAATTTTTTTGGAGGGTTTTTATTACTCTTTTTTTGTAGAATGTCCAATTGAATAGCAATTTTTCGTGAGCTGGTAGTTACGTCACCTTCTACTAGACCCAGAATATTTTTACTTCTAAAGCTTTCTGGTTTCGTATAGTTTTTTGAAAACAGTGATAAATACATTTTTATCGGGATATCTGTGATGCGAAAACCGTTGACGATATTCTTCAACAGTATTCCCATTACAAAAACCATAAACAAACACATATTTGCATATTCTAAATTTGAATAAATTCTTGGCATTTTATAATACCTTGATCGTACAAACGCGTAATAAAATGGAGGATGAATACTCTTATTTGAAATTTTTAAAAGTATAATTAAAAACGAATAAAAATCGCATAATAACATTTACGTTTTTTCTTATTATTTTGACGTGTATTCTTGGAATTTGGCGCGAATCCCCCGACTCACCCTGTAAGTAGAAAAAGATCGGGATACACGACGTCATCTAAAATTCACTTACATCTAAACACTACACTAATATCAGATGTTTGTGATACCGGGTGCTAATTAAGTACGTCAACAAACTTTAAGGGGCGATTGAGTAAATTTAAACCAAAATAAAAATAGTTTTCGTGATAGGGTATTGCAATTTAAAAAAAATCATCTTTTCTAAATAAAATTTTGGATTTTTGTTAAAAGTAGCAAGGGTATGACTGAAAAAAAATGGCACCAATTATTTTCTCGGGATGACATGATTACGTTCTATTTAAAATCGTATATTTAGAAAAATCATGTGAACTTTTATTACCTACCAAATGAGTAGTTCTACAATTATGGCAGGTTCAATGAAGTGTCTGGTAACGTTAATGATAGTTTCTCGAATAAAAGAAAGATATATTTTTTCTTAGAAAATCATAAGGAAATAAAAGTAGTGATAATATTTTCAAAATATTCAGTGGCGTCGAATTTTTGGAGTTTTCAGTGAGATCGATTGTAAGTCACCGGTATATATTATGTATTTATATCCAAATTTAGTGGATCCTTAATTAGACAAATTATTAGCCCAAATTTGAACATTCTGCATAAAGTGTTTTTAATTTCAACACCCAGTATCTCGAGAACTATTGATTTGTTCATATAAAATTTTCAGCTTAAAATCACTCAAATAATTGTAATTTAAATTTTGTCCTTATACTTAAATTATACCCTGTATATTAGAAAATACAGTCTACATATCTACTTAGAATTTTATACAATAATCGAGCGGTATACGCTGTATTCGGCAATTTGAGGCCTAAAATAACTAGACGGAAATACTTTTCGCAGGTCTTTCTTTTTAAAATTTTACGTAATTTGGCTGATTGCCAGGAATTTATAACCAAATTATCATTTTCCATACGTAGATTTAGTTGTAGAAAAAATGGATCATTTTATTTACCAACTCCTCGTACTAATGTACTCAAAGATTTACCACTTTATGAAATTTGTGACAACTGTAATAAAAATTCTGTAGATATTTTTAACTGCTTGCAGCCTTACTGACTTGAAAATACTTTATTTTTAATGTCTTGCAGTTTTAGATATGTAATTTTAATCTTCATTTATGTGAGTTACTTAGTGTATAAGTTTTATTTATTTCCTTCTTTTTTATGACGTTCTGTAGTTTTTTGTTCCTTTTAATTTTGTTTGTAATTAATGTACTTTTATTATTATTATTATTATTACTGTCTTTAAAACCCCTGTTCTATAATTGGGTAGTACCTGTTGAACAGTGTGTTAAATAAGTAAATAAATAAATAAATAAATAAATAAAGACGTAATTGTTAATTATTGTACAGGGTATCTCAGTGTCAGCATACACAAATTTACCAGGGGGTAGACCAGACCAAAATAAGATTAAAATTCTTATAAAATATTTTTCTGCGATGCACTCTCACTGAGTTACAGGGTGTTGTTAAAAAAAATAAAAACAACTGTCCGCAACAGTGTTGCCAGCGCCAGTACTTTGGTCTGTTTTCAGCACCTTTTTAAACAAACTAGACCTTCGTACTTTCTCCTTACAATTCTGCACCTTTTCGAAGAGTATGACGTCAAGACAACCATAACCTATCAATGTTGGTACAACTCATGATTTGTAAACTAATTACTTTACAAATCTTGGATACAAGTTGTATACAACTGCTACGGCTACTATGGGCCGTGGGGTGGATAGAGGGGTACGCCTTTTCCTATATTCTATGATTCTGTGGTGTTCTGTTTTGTGCTGTGATTGGCACATTCACACAATTGACAATGGTTGGACTACAGCTCCTGATGTGAGCTCTTGGGCAAGGATTTTATACATTGTATAAAATCCTTGGCTCTTGGGTACCTGGCATATCTCCGTCAAAAATGAATATAAAAATTTGAAATCTTAGGGGTGTACTCTAGATGGGGAGACCTAAGAGCGCACGTACCTACCTACTCCACATTATCTTTAAAATATATATATTTTTTATGTTAACATATAAGGATACATAGTTTATTCAAATATAGTTTATATAATAGGATTTTTTTTCAAAAAATTTTACAAGACGTGGGTAACACATCTGTAAAAAATAAAAAATGTATTGCTGGTTGCATTTTCGTCATACCTACCTAGCATGTAATTAAGAACGTGATGAAGGAAGTAAAAGTAATTATTTATTAGACTTATTGTATCTGATTCGATATTATAAATTTTCTAGACTTTTTTCAAACAATTAGCACTTTTTCACTTCCCGATCTAGTACTTTTATTTTACGTCCGCTGGGAACACTGGTCCGCAATAACTCGAAAATCCTTTCAGGGATTTAAGTAATTTTTGCGTGAACTACACGGTGCTTATTACGATCCGACGCACAGTGGGGTAGAATCCCAAAAAGCTGGCCAAAAGTCAAAATCTTTAAAAGTCGATCTGAAATTTGTTACTCGGGGGTTTTTGGGGTCGCTGATAACGAATTTGGAGTCAGAATTACAAAATTCAAAGTGGAGGATTTAATATAGACATATCAGAAGTATAAATATTCAGTAAATAGGGATTTTCCGAGTAGATTAAGAATTAAAAGATTATGAAATAGAAAATGTCACATTTAAGGCCTGCACATACATACGCGGTAAGGTAAGCGGTGGCGGTGGCGTTTGAATGTAACCATAGACCTAGTAAACTATGAACTGGCCCTAGAAAGAGAGGTCAATCGCGCTGATGTGTGCAAGGCAGATGAAGCTAGTTGAGGCAAATGTTGCAAATTTATAGAATTATTAAATACATTTTAAATATTTTGATTATAAAAAATAATCTGTTAGAGAATCAATATGGCCATAATGTGATACATTTTTCAATTATAAAAAAAAAGAAGGTAATTGTCATAAATAAATAAAAAGAACGTGACATTCTCAAACAGAGATTTTTTGAAAAACTATAAAATTTTGTTAACAGTACCGAAATCTATAATAAATACGTTTGCTACTAATCATCACTCTCATTTTGAACTCTCGTGTTGCTGCAGACGGGTAGTTTCTACGTGTACACGAAAGTATTGGCGACCGTGACAGGACCTGAGAGTGATTAGAGAAATCGTATTATAGAAAGGTCGGTGCAGATTATTCCTTGTATTTTGGAGAATTGTACAACCTTTTACGTCGTGTGAGCTTTTGTATCTGACACTTGACGTTTAGTGGTTTTGACCAGAGATTGGAAAGATATGGCTACAGAAACAGAAAAGAAAAGGAAAAGTCGTGGAGTTATGCGGGCATCGTTTACGCGGGTGTTGAAGGAAATTGATTCAATGCTGCAAACTGACAGTCCTGATTTCCGACAAATGGATGTTTCATTTGAAATACTAGAAATGAAGTTTGAGGAATTAAAAGTTGTGGATTCCGAAATATATGAAGCGATCCTGGAGACGACGAGTGAAGAAGGGTTACTGCAAGAAATAGATGTTGCTGACGACTACAAGAGGAAATTCATTCTGCTGCGTTCTCGATATGATGAGTTCGTGGGAAAATCCAAAGGACAGCCCCTCTTAGAAGCAAGGTCAGTTCATCATGGTAGTGCTTGTTCAGTAATAAATGAAGTCGTCGGTACAGGTATGCGTAAGTTTAAGTTGCCTAAAATAGAATTTAAACGGTTTGGCGGAGATATCAAAGACTGGTTATCGTTTTGGGCGCAATTCAAGAAAATCCATGAAGATCCAGATATTGATAACCACGATAAGATTGAATATCTAGTACAGGCTACTGTTGAGGGTAGCAGAGCCAGACAATTGGTGGAAAGTTTCCCGGCAATGGGAGAAAATTACGAGAAGATTGTTGAGAGCATGCAGTCGAGATTTGGTCAGGAAGATTTACAAATTGAAGTTTATGTTCGCGAATTACTAAAGCTCGTAATAAATAATGCAATTGCTCCCAATAAAATATCACTTTCTGCTTTGTATGATCGCATAG